CTATAAAAAAGTGTTTTTCTTGCATAATATTCTTATTATTAAGTAATAAATATATATTAACATAAGAAAGGGTAAAAAATAATTTTTTTTTTTAAGGAATTTTATTTACAATGTTTTCATATGCGAAAAATGAATACAAAATAAAAAATAGATTGAAAAAAAAAACTACTAATTATGAACCGGAATCGAACCCCGGTCTTCCAGCATAAAAACTGCCGCCTGTCGCCGTTACGCCACGACCCCATTTGTGAATTCTTAAAAATAAATGTATAATTAGGGAAGTAATAGAAATTTAATCATAAATGTCTCATAAACTACTGAGTAGTTGCCGCTATAATGGTATATTTTCTTAAACTGCATGACAAGATCTAGAAATCAGCAAAATCTGAACCAAATCGTTGACCCGTTGGACTTGCACTCTTCTTGTTAGCTGCAGATAAGAAAGAAAATGCAATAAATAACCCGGGTAAGAAACTAGTCCCTGGGGCAAAATCCTTTAGATAAAACGTCCTTCCTATTAAACCACCTATTCCCTAAGAATTGGAAATGCTCCTTTACGATCTTTCCAGGCTCGCAAACTTACGGAAAATTACTAATCGAATTAATTAAATTCCAATTTTATAGTATCGGTTCTCAAATTCCAAATCAAAAACTGGGATTTTCCAGGAATTGACATAGTATCTATGTTATACTAATTTGTCAGTAAAGATTGACAAGATTGACTTGACAGGAGAAAGAAGCAGAGAAGAAGAGTGTTTGGGACTTGGGACGAGTGACTGCAATCGAGAGGATTGATCGTAAATAAGGAATATTTATGACAGAATTTTGTGCGACGAGCAAAAGTTTAGAAATAAGTACCGAGCGTCTGAAATACTGTACGTCCGAGGAAAGAAGGCATTGTGTTTAAATTCTGATGGCTGACTAATTTCACTGACAATCCTACGATCACAGACAGTGATTGCTATTGGCTGAAAACGGTGACGAAGATCATAGGTACATCGCTTTCAATCACCTTCCTTCCTCCAACGCACAGTATATATATATATATATTTACATATAATTATGTATATACAAAAATCACAATTATCTGATAATCTTCGTAGTTGTTATTAATTGGCTGAAGACTGTCAAAACGGAAGACGTTTAAAAGGCAGTCGTTTATGAAACGAGCAGATCTCTGTCTGCATAGGATTTATCTAGTAATAATCCTATATTAATTACTTTAATTAAACAATAATTATTAATCGTCGTCAATGCTGTTGTGTGAGAGAACACATATACCTATTCAATTCTGTGTATGTGATCCTTTTCCTGTCAACTCTAAAATATTGTCTCAATTTTGACACTATTAGAATTAAAAGAATGTTAAAATTGCGTCAAATGGCACGATATGCCAAAGAATGATTCAATGACCCCTTCTCCCTCGATTCTACAATATTGTCTCAATTTTGACACTATCAGAAGGAAAAGAAACTTAAAATGGCGTCAAATGGCACAGCACGTTAAGGAATAATTCAATGACCATTTCCCTGTCAACCCTATAATATTGTCTCAATTTTGACACTATTAGAATTAGAAGAATGTTAAAATGGCGTCAAATGGCACGCCAAAGAATGATTCAATGACCCCTTCTCCCTCGATTCTACAATATTGTCTCAATTTTGACACTATCAGAAGGAAAAGAAACTTAAAATGGCGTCAAATGGCACAGCACGTTAAGGAATAATTCAATGACCCTTTCCCTGTCAACCCTATAATATTGTCTCAATTTTGACACTGTTAGAATTAAAATAATATTAAAATGGCGTCAAAAGGCACGCCAAAGAATGATTCAATGATCCTTTTCCCCTCAATCCTAAAATAATGTCTCAATTTTGACACTATCGGAAGGAAAAGAAGGTTAAAATGGCATTAAATGGCACAGCATGTCAAAGAACGATTCAAAATTGAACGCGACCAACACGTCTAAGAAATTTCGACTTTCCATCACGGTCTAGTTCACCCCGGTCGTTGAGCAGCGAAAGCCACCCTCTGTTCCCGGGTGTCTGGCCCAGAATTCGTGCACCAAAATGGCAGTCTAATGAGAAACCGATATCGAGCCGAGTTACTCGATTCCACTACCTATTCTCGGGAGATCGCTTTGTCTCGTAGATGTCGTCTGCCGCTAGTGTCTTGGCTGCCTGCCTATCTTCTAGCACTTTGCACGCTCTCCAACTATACGTGTATAGTACTGGAAACGGTTCTGCCGCATAATTTCGACGATGACAGCGCGTTAGGCTGGCTCCTGCAAATATTTTTCGGGCAGGTTGCTTGGTTATTCAAGATTTGCGTGTGATAAGTGAATCATTTCTCGATATACCTTTCATGAATTATGTGGATGATGCGTTAGACTCGTTGGTTAATGGTTCGTGTATACAAACACGTGTATGGTGGTATAGGATTTATCATACGTGTAATTAATGAAGTTTTAATTAATTAATTAATTTATTCACCTAGTTTATTTATTTATTTATTGTATAGTCATATTGTATAGTCAAATGTTTTATTTCTAGGGTCAGTAGAATTTTGTTTAATTTGTTGCTTTTATTTTTGAAGTAGCGTAGAGATTGGACGGTGGTAATATTTATTGATAAATTAACAACGATATAAAAATACGCGAGTGATAATTCTCTGACTTATTACAAGTTAAGGATCAACCATATTACGATATTACAATTCTGCTAAACTTGACAGCTCAACGACAACTCAAATAATAACTGTCCTCCGATCATTTTTGGCCTATTTTATATTTCTTTTTCACCATATACACGATTTCCGATATTTCCTTTAACAAGACCGAATATGGCATTGGTAAGTGCCTAACACATAGCCCAGGGATCTCCTGATTTATGGAAAAAAAGAGAAAAACGCATTAAAATTACAATTTTTAATTAAAAATCTGTGTCCTCTGTCAAAATTACTTCTTGTTTGAATTTTGGGATATCCCTTGATACACCTAACCTAACGTGATGCATAGCCCAGGGCTTTCTCGATTTACCGAGACAAAGAAAGAAGAAAACGCGTTAGAAATACAATTTTTAATTAAAAATCTGTGTCTTCTGTCACAATTACTTTTTGCGTGAATTTTGGGATATCTCTTGGCATACCTAATCTAATCTGACATATAGCCCAGAGCCTTCCCGATTTACAGGGGGAAAAAAAGAAAGAAACGTGTTAAAAATACAATTTTTAATTAAAAATCTGTGTCTTCTGTCACAATTACTTTCTGCGTGAATTTTGGGATATCCCTTGGCATACCTAATCTAATCTGACATATAGCCCAGAGCCTTCCCGATTTACAGGGGGGAAAAAAGAAAGAAACGTGTTAAAAATACAATTTTTAATTAAAAATCTATATCTTCTGACAAAATTATTCCCTGCATGAATTTTGGAACACTCCTTAGTATCGAGATAACTCTCAAAGAATATATTTAGAAGCAAATCTATTATCGAACATTACACACGCTTCCTCAACACCAAAGCGTTGTTTATCATATACAACAAAAAGAAACATACAATTCACTGAATATTCGAAGATATACACAATTTCCTCGGAGAGCCGTCCAACACTAATCAAACAAGACCGACCTACTGACGATGCACATAAATTAACATAATAATTTATCTTTCTCCATCCAGATAACACGAAATATCGATTATCGATAATACGCATCCAATTGTAGTACCCATAGGGGTTAATGAATTTGAGAGCAAGAACATCGTGAAACCTAACCTAACCCAAAATTACACCACTGGGTGCTCTCCAGAAAGCGGAATGAAATTCGGAATACCTTGGGACAACGAGGTATTATATTCAAAAGAAAAAGACCAAAATCAGTGGAAAAAGAAATCACACGAAAATCCTCTTAAACCCCTTTCAACTTCACGGTCCCGAACAACGAGGTTCCAGTCGAGTTGTAAGTCGAAGTTATTACTGAAAGCGAGAAACAAGCGTCGAAAACGTCGAATCAGCTGAGAGAGAGAGAGTGAGAGAGGGTGGTCGAGGGTGTATAGAGGGATTTATTGTCCTCACCTGAAACTCCACGCGGTACAGAACAGGAAACTTTCGACGCAGCTCACAAAGCTTCGGGAATTGCGCGAGTTCGGTGGGTGCGGACGGCAGGGTGGTACTCATGCTGCTACCGAGTTCCTCCGTGGCTGTGAACAAAAAAGAAGAGAATTAATGTGACGAACGTCCTGTCGCGTAAGTCGTAGTTTCTGGTTGGGAAAGTTCACCCGACACCGATTTTCTTTCTGACGGAACGGACTGGTGGTAATAGACCGAAATAGAGCTGTTAGCGAGGACACGTGAGTTGGTAGTGCGACAGATTTTGTAATTAAGGGATGCTGCTCGGATTTGTCTGTTTTGGACGAGTCTCCTGTGACTCGGCCAGGTTTCGATTTCAATTATTGTAGGAAAGGAATAAGTACGGCCCTGAATTCAAGGGTGTTTGGACTCAGAACGAAAGTGACCACGTGTAAGAGAATCGAATGTAAGGGATGATTATGACAGAGCCGAATGCGATAAACGAGTGGAAGTGGAAGAGTGTTTTAAAGTCAGTCATAGAGCTTTTAGAGATAGCGAGTGAGAGTTATTAGCGAGTAGAATAAGTTTTAATTTAAAATAAATCATTTTCATATTTACGTCACTGCTTATTCTCTTGCCTACCCAACATTCCTACATTATTATATTTAAGGATCACGTAGGTTTTTCATTTTTCTCAAGTTGACGTTACAATGATTTCAAAGAAGTGATTATAAAGTAGAATATACCGGTGATATTCGACGAGGTTTTTATTTTTATTGTCGAGGGATTCTATGGTGAATAGTCCTACAACTGGTTCCAATTTCCTTTTCGTTTATAATAATCACAATTTTAAAAGAACTAAACGTATACATACGTGTTAGTAGCCCTGAAGACAGTAAGATCACTTTATTTTAAATTATTATAAATGTATAGAATCTATTTTAGATTATAGATTTTTAATTTTTCTCCGGCCTTTTAGAATGACTCGAGGTTAAATCGAGCCTTCTGATCTTTTTCTATCATGGTTCATGACTATTTAAGTGATATAGATTTTCAGGACGATCCTGGATCAAATCATGTTTGTTTATAATTTTGAAATATAATTTTATAATTTTTTAACTTTATAATTTTTTAATTTGCAAAATTAGTCAGTGATATGATGACTTGAAACGTGGATTTATTAGATCTAGACGACGTGTGTCTGTGTGACTTGTGAAATTTTGTATCTTGGCATACCTAATCTAATCTGACATATAGCCCAGAGCCTTCCCGATTTACAGGGGGAAAAAAAGAAAGAAACGTGTTAAAAATACAATTTTTAATTAAAAATCTGTGTCTTCTGTCACAATTACTTTTTGCGTGAATTTTGGGATATCCCTTGGCATACCTAATCTAATCTGACATATAGCCCAGAGCCTTCCCGATTTACAGGGGGAAAAAAAGAAAGAAACGTGTTAAAAATACAATTTTTAATTAAAAATCTGTGTCTTCTGTCACAATTACTTTTTGCGTGAATTTTGGGATATCCCTTGGCATACCTAATCTAATCTGACATATAGCCCAGAGCCTTCCCGATTTACAGGGGGGAAAAAAGAAAGAAACGTGTTAAAAATACAATTTTTAATTAAAAATCTATATCTTCTGACAAAATTATTCCCTGCATGAATTTTGGAACACTCCTTAGTATCGAGATAACTCTCAAAGAATATATTTAGAAGCAAATCTATTATCGAACATTACACACGCTTCCTCAACACCAAAGCGTTGTTTATCATATACAATAAAAAGAAACATACAATTCACTGAATATTCGAAGATATACACAATTTCCTCGGAGAGCCGTCCAACACTAATCAAACAAGACCGACCTACTGACGATGCACATAAATTAACATAATAATTTATCTTTCTCCATCCAGATAACACGAAATATCGATTATCGATAATACGCATCCAATTGTAGTACCCATAGGGGTTAATGAATTTGAGAGCAAGAACATCGTGAAACCTAACCTAACCCAAAATTACACCACTGGGTGCTCTCCAGAAAGCGGAATGAAATTCGGAATACCTTGGGACAACGAGGTATTATATTCAAAAGAAAAAGACCAAAATCAGTGGAAAAAGAAATCACACGAAAATCCTCTTAAACCCCTTTCAACTTCACGGTCCCGAACAACGAGGTTCCAGTCGAGTTGTAAGTCGAAGTTATTACTGAAAGCGAGAAACAAGCGTCGAAAACGTCGAATCAGCTGAGAGAGAGAGAGTGAGAGAGGGTGGTCGAGGGTGTATAGAGGGATTTATTGTCCTCACCTGAAACTCCACGCGGTACAGAACAGGAAACTTTCGACGCAGCTCACAAAGCTTCGGGAATTGCGCGAGTTCGGTGGGTGCGGACGGCAGGGTGGTACTCATGCTGCTACCGAGTTCCTCCGTGGCTGTGAACAAAAAAGAAGAGAATTAATGTGACGAACGTCCTGTCGCGTAAGTCGTAGTTTCTGGTTGGGAAAGTTCACCCGACACCGATTTTCTTTCTGACGGAACGGACTGGTGGTAATAGACCGAAATAGAGCTGTTAGCGAGGACACGTGAGTTGGTAGTGCGACAGATTTTGTAATTAAGGGATGCTGCTCGGATTTGTCTGTTTTGGACGAGTCTCCTGTGACTCGGCCAGGTTTCGATTTCAATTATTGTAGGAAAGGAATAAGTACGGCCCTGAATTCAAGGGTGTTTGGACTCAGAACGAAAGTGACCACGTGTAAGAGAATCGAATGTAAGGGATGATTATGACAGAGCCGAATGCGATAAACGAGTGGAAGTGGAAGAGTGTTTTAAAGTCAGTCATAGAGCTTTTAGAGATAGCGAGTGAGAGTTATTAGCGAGTAGAATAAGTTTTAATTTAAAATAAATCATTTTCATATTTACGTCACTGCTTATTCTCTTGCCTACCCAACATTCCTACATTATTATATTTAAGGATCACGTAGGTTTTTCATTTTTCTCAAGTTGACGTTACAATGATTTCAAAGAAGTGATTATAAAGTAGAATATACCGGTGATATTCGACGAGGTTTTTATTTTTATTGTCGAGGGATTCTATGGTGAATAGTCCTACAACTGGTTCCAATTTCCTTTTCGTTTATAATAATCACAATTTTAAAAGAACTAAACGTATACATACGTGTTAGTAGCCCTGAAGACAGTAAGATCACTTTATTTTAAATTATTATAAATGTATAGAATCTATTTTAGATTATAGATTTTTAATTTTTCTCCGGCCTTTTAGAATGACTCGAGGTTAAATCGAGCCTTCTGATCTTTTTCTATCATGGTTCATGACTATTTAAGTGATATAGATTTTCAGGACGATCCTGGATCAAATCATGTTTGTTTATAATTTTGAAATATAATTTTATAATTTTTTAACTTTATAATTTTTTAATTTGCAAAATTAGTCAGTGATATGATGACTTGAAACGTGGATTTATTAGATCTAGACGACGTGTGTCTGTGTGACTTGTGAAATTTTGTAATTAATATTTTGTAATTAATTTTGTTTTATATCTTGTCTAGGTTTTGATTTTGATTATATAAAGATGTTAGAGGTTCTCTGATTTTGTTCCGATGATATTTCGCGTAACATAGTCTTTGAAGACAAATCGGGATTAAATTAGGTTATTATTAGGTCCATGTTTTCCAAATAAATTTTCTTCTCGTACAATTTATAGGAAAGAATTGGTGCAATTACGATCGGGAAAAGTAATTGCACTAATGAACAGTCTAGGTGTTGGGAATCTTGAATTGCTCCCTGATGAGAAATTCATTTGGATCCTCTGGGGTTCCATTCGCTTTGGCTTAGGTATACAAGAGGTGGCGTTCATTAATTTTCTTTGATACACAAAGTGAACTATAGAAGTACACCTTACTTTACCTACTTTTCTTCTTCGTTCTGACGTATTTTTAAGTATCCTCGAGAGTGATTAATTACCTAGAAACAAACCTTATGTTTCGTCTGATTTATAGTTGGGATGACCAATGGCAGCAGCAAGAAATATCTCTGATGGTAAAATGTCAATCTTCCTAATTTTTTGAAAAAGTTAAATTAATTTTTAAATCACCATTGTGACACTGTGTTATCTCAAAGAATAACAATATTATCTTCATAAATTTCTAGAAAATTAGTGTATCTTTTGGGAAGAGTGTCTCTGAGAAATAGCAAAGAATCGAAGACATGTCTTCCCCATAAAAGATTTTCACCATCTTTTTACACTCAAATTTGACAACTGCCATAATCCACGAGTTACAGACTTTGAATCTCCGAAACTGGAACACGTGCCCCGAATTAGAGTGCAAAAGAAGAGGCCATTCCAAATAAACGCGAGAAAATGATTCCCAGGGGTATCTACCAAGTTTTAGCGAAACACTCAATTCCTCGATTTGCTTTCCAAATGAAAGAAAGCAGGGACTGCACAAGACTGAAGGTAAACTCGAACGTTTAAACAGCTATTTACAACGTAATTACGTTATTAGCAGTTGCAACGAGGTCCCAGGTGAGGTTGGAGCAAGCAAGCAGTGCTTTTAGGCTAACAGCTTCTTTAAATCTTCAAACAGCCAATCTCCACGAAGCAAAATACTTATTTCATTAAAAACATCCCGATATTCTTCTTTATACAGATAAGGATGAAAAAATCTGTACTTTTATACGGCTCTGTACAAATGGAATTTAAAAATAAACGACGTTTCTAATTGTGCAAATAAACTTAACAAAAGGTAAAGTATATCTGCATGTTAAATCTGTATATTAAAATTAAAAGTTATTTAAATATCATATTATATTTA